TATTTCCTGCAATCAAGTTTGGTGCGGTTTACTTTGAGTTTGTATCTGTTGTGTGCTCTTGTGTTGTTATGGTTAAAGCTGAAGTATTCATTGACAGGTAGGACATTGCAATGTATGATTTTATATACCATGCTTAAGTCGGACCGAAGACGGCGTAATTCGAGGTTTTCTAGTTTTAGAATTTCGAGTCTGGTGGCGTAAGGTATTCTATAACGGGTAGAAGAGTGGAGAACTCTTCTTGTGAAATACTTCTGGACTTTCTCAATTGTGTTAATATCACATACGTGATAAGGATTCCAGACTGATGAACTGTATTCGAGTATTGGTCTAGCAAATGTTTTGTATGCTCTGGTTAGTAGTGAGATATTACCAGAGAAAAAGCAACGTAGGATTAGGTTAACAACTCTTAATGCCTTTTTGGCTATGTAGTTGCAGTGAGCTCTAGCACTTAGATCATTAGAGGTGAGTATTCCCAGGTCCTTTACAGAGCTTGGGTCATCAACAAGATCTTGACTATTCAGCTTGTATTTTATTTTCTGATTTTTTTTACCAATATGTAAGACAGAGCATTTATTTGTTGAGATTTGGAGTTGCCATATGTTAGACCATTCAGATACATAGTCTAGATCTTTTTGAAGGGTAGTAGTATTGTCTGTGGTATTGAACAGCTTTACATCATCAGCGAAGAGAACGCAATTGCTCTTGATATGATCACAAAGGTCGTTTATGTAGATTATGAAGAGAGTTGGTCCTAGAACACTGCCTTGGGGAACACCACTATTGACTGGTACTGGATTTGATAGGGCGTTCCCAATTTTGACCATTTGTTGTCTGTTTGACAGGAATGCTTCTATCCAGTTATTCAGTTGTCCAGAGATACCATAAGATTTTATTTTTAGGAGTAGTTTGTCGTGTACCACTGAATCAAAGGCTTTGCAGAAGTCTATGTAGATTGCGTCTATTGCTTTGCCCTGGTCGAGTTGAGTAGTCCATATGTTTTTGCAGTGTAAGAGTTGCAGATTACAGGATAGTTTTTTTCTGAAACCAAATTGTTTATTGGAGAGTAGGTTGTTTGTCTCTAAATGGAGGATGATGGATTGGTTAATAATTGATTCCATGACTTTACAGGTGACGCAGCATAAGGAGATTGGTCTGTAATTTTCAACTAGGCTTGGGTCTCCCTTTTTGAAGATGGGAATGACTGTGGCTTGTAACCATAGGTTGGGCAAGGAGCTGGTTCTGAAAGATCTTTCAAAGATTATGCTTAGAGGTTTGGCTATGGCAGCGGATAGTTTTCTTAAGAAGTAGGCACATATTCCATCCGGTCCAATAGATAGAGATGGTTTTAGGTTGCGTAGTGCTTTTTCAACGTTGTCTACTGTAAAATCGATATGTATTAGATCATTATTGTTGTCTGTGGTACGGCTAGGAAACATTGGGCATGATCCATTACTGTTTACAAACACTGAGCCGAAGAATGTGTTAAAGATGTTGGCTTTAATGGTGTCGTCGCTGCAGTCTTTACCATCAGGTCCTATCAAGGGAGGGATGGACCTTGAGTCTTTTAGTTTGTTGTTTACAAAATTGTAAAAAGCACGGGTGGAATTGGTGCTTAGAAGGTTTTCCTCTTGTTTAATGTGATAATTGGTGCATTCGGTCTTTATCTGGTGGCATAAATTTTTGTATCGGTTTTTGAAATTGGCAACGTGACCAGATTTGTTTTTCCGCCAGAGTGATCTCTTTTTGGATTGAAGTTTCCTTATTGATATGGGTAATCTGCTTTTTTGTTTTGTTTTTGGAGTTGTTGTTGGAACATATAGTTTGATGACTCTTTTGACTTCAAGTAAAAATATGTTGTAATGATCTTCAACAGTATTGCATCCAGTGAATAGAGATTGCCAATCGAGGGATGAGAGATCGTTATCTATAAGATCATAATTGCCTTTTTTGAAGTTACAACTAGGGATGACATCGTTGTGGTGATTTTTGCGTGGACGTATGTTGAGGCAAAAGTCAATCATATTGTGATCACTACTGGAAAAGGGTTCTTTGGTTTGTATTCGGTAAATTAAATTCAAACTATTGCAGAAGATGAGATCGAGGCAGTTGTTCAGTCTAGTGTTGTTGGTTACTAGTTGTTCAAGACCTAGATTTGTAATAGCATTGAAGAAGGTTGTGTGTATGATTTCAGTTGTACAATTATTTAGGGTCCAGTCAATATGAGGTAGATTGAAATCTCCAAGAAAGATAAAAGGGTATGGGCAGGATGTAGCCCATGTTAGTAGTGTATTTAGCTTGTTTATATGTTCGATGTCATAATCAGGTGCTCTGTAACATAGTAAGAATCGAATTGTGATATTTAAGGATAGTTCACAGATGATGGTTTCAGGAAGGGCAAGCTCCTGGGTAACTTGGATATTTTTTAGATGTAAGGATTTTTTGTAGAATATAGCAACACCACCTCCTCGACGATTTTCACGATCTGATCGGTAAACATGATAGTCTCTTACTGTGGTAATGGAGTCGGGGAGAGATGCATTGAGCCATGTTTCACAGACAAATATAATGTCAAAGTTAGCCATATTTAAGAGGATGAGAAATTCAGGTATTTTATTCACGAGGCTTCTTGCATTGAGTAGTTTGCATTTAAGTCCGGCAGCAGTTGGGATTGAGGTAGTTGGGGGCGTGCGTGCCTAGTCTTGGGTGATGGTGGGTGGTGGGTAGTTTTGGGTGATGGTGGGTGGTGGTAGGTGGTTGAGGTAGGGTAGTGGTTGAGGGTAAAAGTTGGGTATTGGGTTGCGTGTCTTACTTTTGATGCAGTCAGCATGGTAGTCAATGTACAGGTCCTTCTCTCCATGTGCTAGCCTGGCCAGAGAAGCAACTGGCCCTTTGCCACATGGCTCCCCTCTCCAGCAGCAGCCACCGAGGCAGGGAGGGATCTGTTCCAGGGAGGGTGGGAAAAGCCTGGGGGCCGGTGGGGGGTGGGGGAAAGCACCACTCTGAGGCAGGTCTCCATCTCCCACAGTTCTGCTCAGTTATGGGTGTCTCTACCTGGAGCCTAGAGCTGAGCACCAACTGTTGTGGATTCACATCTGGGACTGTTTCTCTTCTCTCCTGGGTGGAACAGCTGTTTATGATCCTTTTCAATTTCATGTGCTCCCTTTTTTGCAGGGCAGCAGACCCACTCACAGCCTTGGGCCACAGCAGATTTATTTATTCATTTGGGAAACATACATTCACCAATCAGAGTCTGCCTGAACCCTGTCATCCTCTTCCCTTCCTGCCCAGGGTCAGTTTAGGCAACGTCACTCATTGAGACAATAGGAAAAAGGGAGTTTGAAGAGAGCCTCTGTTCTTCAGTCTCCATTTTTCAGCACAGAAAGCTCAAACTCGCCCCTCCCAAGCTGAGTTGTCCCTTGCTTTCTGGACAGGTCATTGTTCAGCCGAGTTTGCAGCAGGGCCTGGGCAGCTGAGAATTAGCCTGGAAAGGGACCACTTGCATTCAACAAGCCCCCCTGGACAAAACAGGCTGTGGCCTTACACACAGTCCTAAGCGGTGCCCTTCCGTGGAAGTGGGCAGGGGATCCATCTCACCACACTCACCCTATGAGCGCCCCAGCTGTTGTCCCTGGTCACAGCTCAAAGACTGTGAGTCCCACCTCTGAAACCAGTTTCTGTGGAATCCAATGCAGGACCCCAAAAACTAATCATCATAGCTCAACGCAGTATGTATTTAATTAACTGTGCCCTGAAGGAATTCCCTCTAGAACATAATGAGAGAGGCTCCTTCAGGCAGAAGGATTGTCCTCGTAGTCATACATTCCAGGAAAGGAGGAGAAAGTCACAGTCATAGATATGCATAGGTGATAGAGGATGTAAGAATGAATATTCATACTCAGAAAACCTCAAGTTACTTTCCCAGCTTTCTACTCTTAATATTATCAAGAAAGATTGTCTTAATAAGAAGAAGTTTTGAGAAAGCACCCTGAAAAGCAAGGCTGTCCCAACTAGTGTACACACCTTCTATGTTTGCACTGTGCCTACAGCTCCGAGACTTTGTTTCCCCTCATGGTGCCTTCCCTTTCCTCTCTCTGCAGGATCTCTCTGACCATTGCAGGAGGCTTGGCGGCAGCAGTGGCAGCGGCAGTAATGGAAGCCTCACAGCCAAGTGGCTCAACGACCCCCAACATCAGAAGCATCTCAGGAGTCTTTGTGGGGGCTTCTGGCAAGACCACGAGCCTGGCACAAGCTCTCCAGGACCACCTGATCCAACCGGATGTTGCCCTGGCCCTGCTGGAAGCCCAGGCAGCCACAGGTGGCATCATTGACCCCAAGGGTGAGCGTCTCCTCCCTGTGGCGGAGGCCCTGGCAGTGGGATTGGCAGGGCTGGAAATGAAGGAGAAGCTGCTGTGCGCAGAGCGGGCAGTGACAGGTTTCCCTGACCCCTACACAGGGGAGAAGATCTCCCTCTACCAAGCCATCCAAAAAGAGCTGATTGGAAGAAAGCTGGGCTTGCATCTCCTGGAAGCCCAGATAGCCACCGGAGGGGTCATTGAGCCTGTTTCTGGCCATCGCATCCCTCAGCAAGAGGCCTGTGCACGGGGCTATTTGGACGAGGACGTGAGCGACTCCCTCTCTGATCCAGGGAACGAGGAGGCCAAGGGCTTCAGGGATCCCAATACTGACCAGAGGGTCACCTACACAGAACTGATGAGAAGATGTGTTGCAGACCCAGCCAGAGGCCTGCTCTTGCTGCCTCTCAAGATCTCTTTCCCTGGACTGAGAGGGGCTGTGTGTAGCCGGGAGCTGCTGGATTCTGGAATCATTGACTCCACCACATTTGAAGCCCTCCAGAAGGGGGAGATGACAGTGCAGGAAGTGGCAGAGATGGACTCAGTGCAACAGTCCACGTCGGAGATCACCAGCATTGCTGGAGTAGCCATCCTGCCAACGAATGAACGCAAGAGCCTTTACCAAGCATTAGTAGAGCACCTCCTCCCTCCTGGCACAGCTGAAATTCTGCTGCAGGCTCAGGTGGCCTCAGGCTATTTAATCGACCCTGTAAAGAACACAAAATTAACTGTGGCTGAGGCCATCCAGGCAGGAGTTGTTGGGCCGGAGCTGTTTGGGAAATTGACTTCAGCTGAGAGAGCAGTCACAGGATACAAAGACCCCTACACAGGGGAGACCATCTCTTTGTTTCAAGCCATGCAGAAACACCTGGTGCCCAGGAACCCAGGCCTTTTCCTGCTAGATGCCCAGCTCGCCACGGGAGGCATCATTGACCCACACGCCTATCACCGACTTCCGACAGAGATGGCCCTGCAGAGGGGCCACTTGGATGAAGAGACGTACAAGCTGCTGTGCAACCCTACGGACGAGGCCCGTGGATTCTTTGAGCCCAACTCAAAGGAGAAGTTGTCCTATGGGGAGCTGCTCTTGCGGGGCGTCTCTGATTCAGATACCGGGCTCTGCCTCTTGCCTCTTGCTGGAGATCATGAGGGGAGTCATACCTTCATTGACCACAATACAAAGCTGGCCCTGGAAAACACCACGGTGTCGGTGGCCTCCAGTAGGTTCAAGGGAAGGCCCATATCCCTCTGGAAGCTCCTCTTCTCAGAATACCTGACAGGAGAGCAGAGGAGAACTCTTATGCAGCAATTCTCCTGCAGGTTCCTTTCTCCTCAGCAGCTGGCTGACAAAATCCGTCTCATGGTGGAACAAACCGTTGCTGACTCCCGGGTCACCTTTGAAGGCCTGAGGGAAAAGGTGACACCTGCCCAGCTCCTGAGCTCTGAAATCATCAACAGAGACTTATTTGAGAAGTTAACGCAGGGAGAGACCCTGGTCAAAGACGTGATTAACATGGCCACAGTGAAGAAGTACTTGGAAGGGACTGGCAGCATTGGTGGGCTGCTCCTGCCTGACTCCCAGGAGAGAATGAGCATCTATGAAGCCAAGAGGAAGGGCTTCCTCCGCCCGGGGACGGCACTTATCCTCTTGGAGGCTCAGGCGGCCACAGGACACATCATTGACCCCGTGGCGAATGAGAGATATTCTGTGGACGAGGCCTTGCGTGGCAACATCATAGGTCCAGATGTGTATAGCAAGTTGCTGGTGGCTGAGAAAGCAGTGACTGGCTATAAGGATCCTTATACTGGGAGCAAGATCTCCCTTTTCCAGGCAATGAAAAAAGACCTCATCGTGACAGAACATGCCATTCGCCTTCTGGAGGCCCAGATCGCCACTGGAGGCATCATTGATCCTGTCAATAGCCACCGCCTCCCAGTGGAAGTGGCCTACAAACGGGGCTATTTTGAGAAGAAAATGAGCCTGATCCTGTCAGATCCCAGGGATGACACCAAAGGCTTCTTTGATCCAAACACCCATGAGAACCTAACTTACCTACAGTTAAAGGAGAAGTGCATTGTGGAGCTCACCACAGGCCTCTGCCTCCTGCCACTCAACAGCAGGAAGCACCAACCCCTGGATGATGCCACCAAGCAGGCCTTCAGGAGCTCCTGGCTCTTTGTCAAACACGGGCGCTTCCAAGGACAGAGAGTCTCCTTGTGGGATCTGCTGAACTCAGAGTATTTCAGTGAGGGAAAGAGAAAGGAAGTCTTCAACCACTACAGACTTCAGAAGGTCACCCTGGAGCAGATCTGCCTCTCTCTTGAAGAGGAAATGAAGAAGTGGGCTTGCATCCAGTTCCCAGCTCTCAGAGGGAAGGTCAGCGCTTACCACCTGCTGGAGAGAGGCATCATTGACCGGACGCTCTTTGAGGAGATCCTAGATGGAGTGGTGAGCCCAGAGGACGTGCTGCGCCTGGATTCAGTCCGAAGGTACCTCTATGGCATGGGAAGCATAGGGGGAATTCTGCTGCAACCCTCCAATGAGAAACTGAGCCTCTATGAAGCTATGAAAAGGAACATGGTGGTGCCTGGAGTTGCCCTGCCCTTGCTGGAGGCCCAAGCAGCTACTGGGTTCCTTGTGGATCCAGTGAGCAGCCAAAGACTTTCCCTGGATGATGCAGTGAAGAAAGGCCTGGTTGGCCCTGAGCTTTATGAGGTGTTGCAGCAGGCTGAAGAAGCTGTCACTGGCTACAGGGACCCCTTCACCGGCAAGATAATCTCCCTCTTCCAAGCAATGAAGAAAGGCCTTTTGGCAGACAGGAAAGCCAGGCAGTTGATGGATGTCCAGCTGGCTACTGGGGGGGTCATTGATCCACACAGCGGCCACTATGTCCCCATAGAATTTGCCCAGAAAAGTGGCTACCTGGATGAGGAGTTTGGGAAAACCCTTTCCAACCCGAGTAGTGATTCCAAGGCTTTCAGCACCCTGGACAGGAAAGAGAGGGTCAGCTATGGGCAGTTGATGGACCGGTGTCAGAAGGAGGCACATTCGGGCATTCGGCTCTTGCCTCTGGCACAAACAGCTTCTGCTTGCTCCACTGAAGAGCAAGTCCAGCAGTGCTTGAAGGAGACCTTCATTGAGGACAAGGGGGTCTCTCTCTGGGACCTGCTGAGTTCCGGCTACTTCACTGAGGAGCAGAAGTCAGACTTTTTGGATAAGCATAGCTCTGGAGCAGTCTCCCTTCACCAGCTGGTCAGCCTTGTCCAGCAGCTTATGAATGACATAGAAATGAAAGCTAAGACGCAGGTCACTTTCCAAGGTCTGAGAGGAGCAGTGCCAGCCGTCTGGCTCCTGGATGCAGGCATCCTTTCAGAAGAGGTGTTTACTGAGCTAGCCCAGGGCAAAAGATCACCCAGCGAAGTGTCTGAGATGGAAAGCGTCAAGCTGTACTTGCAGGGCACAGGGAGCATTGCTGGAGTTTTCGTTCAGTCCTCCAAGGAAAAAATGGGCATTTACCAAGCTATGCAGGAAAGGCTCCTCTTGCCAGGGATGGCAGCACAGCTGCTCAGAACCCAGGCAGCCACCGGCTCCATCATGGACCCAGTGTCTAATCGGCGGTTTGGTGTTGAGGATGCCATCAAAAGTGGCATTGTGGGAGAAGAGCTGATGGAAGAGCTGCTGCAAGCCGAGAGGGCGGTGACCGGCTTCCCTGACCCCTACTCAGGGAAACCAATCTCGGTGTGCCAGGCTATCAGGAAGGAATTACTCCCTGCCAGGGTGGGCATCCCCATGCTCGAGGCTCAGCTGGCCACTGGAGGAATCATCGACCCTGTTCATTGCCATCACCTGCCCCTCCAAGTGGCCTTCAAGCATGGCTTGATTGATGAAGAAATGCAGAGGGCTCTTTCTCAGGACAGCAAGGAGAGCCAGGTTTTCTTTGACCCGAATACCCAGGAGAGCCTGACCTACCAGCAGCTGAAAGACAGGTGCATCCAGGACCCTGAGTCGGGGCTCTGGCTTCTCCCACTGACCGAAGAGGCAGCTTTTTATGGAGACCAGCAAGCCGTGGAAGTGCTAAACTCTTTCTCCGTCTCGATCAGCATCGGGAGGTTTAAAGGACAAGAGGTTTCTCTCTGGGACTTGCTCCACTCGGAGTACATCCCGGAGGCCAAGCGGAGGGAGCTGGTGCTGAGATACAAAGACGCGCATGAGGAGTTCCTTCATGAAATGGCATCATCCATCAAGAAGATCATCAAAGAGACAGAGCAGCAAGGCCAGAGGTTCACTTTCAAAGGCCTAAGGAAGAAGGTGTCAGCCAGCGACCTCTTCCAGTCCCAGCTCATAGACAAGATGACCCTGGACGAACTCCAGCAGGGGAAGACAACTGTCCAGGAAGTCAGTGAGATGGATTCCGTCAAGCACTTTCTGGAGGGGTGCAACTTCATTGCAGGGGTCCTCATAGAACCAGATCATGAAAAAATGAGCCTCTACCAAGCCATGAGGCAAGGTCTGGTGAGACCAGGGGCAGCTCTGGTCTTGCTGGAGGCCCAGGCAGCTACAGGGTACCTCATTGACCCAGTAAAGAACAAGAAGCTCTCTGTGGATGAAGCAATGGCATCAGGGCTGATTGGAAAAGAAATTTATGAGAAGCTGCTGAGTGCAGAAAAAGCCGTCACTGGATACACAGATCCCTACACCAAAGGGCAGATCTCTCTCTTTGAGGCCATGAATCAGGAGCTGATTGTGAGGAGCCATGGCATCCGCCTGATGGAGGCACAAATTGCCACAGGGGGCATCATCGACCCTGTGCACAGCCACCGCATCCCCGTGGAGGTTGCTTATAAGCGAGGCTACTTTGATGAAGACCTGAACCGCATCCTTCTGGACCCCACAGATGATACCAAAGGCTTTTTTGACCCCAATACGCATGAGAACCTCACTTATCTTCAGCTTCTGGAACGCTGCACCCAAGATTCAGAAACTGGGCTGTACATGCTGCAGGTTGTCAGAAGAGGGGAAACCTATTTCTACATTGACGAGGCAACAAAAGAATTTTTGAAAGCACAGACTATGCAGGTACAGGTAGGCCGGTATAAAGGCCAGGCAGTCTCTCTGTGGGGCCTCCTCTGCTCCCCATATATCCATGAACAGAAGAGGAAAGATCTGGTCAGGCAGTATAAGGGTGAGAAGGTCACTTTGCCACAGCTCTGCAAAACCATCACCGCCATTGTGGAGGAAACAGAACAGGCAGCCCAGAAGCTCAAGCTGAAGGGGCTGAGGGGGCAAGAGGTGTCTGCCGCAGAGCTCTTCAATGCAGAAATCATTGACAAGGCAACTTTGGACAGACTGCACCAGAAGACCCTTCCTCTGCAGCAGCTTGCCCAGAGGGACGCCGTGAAGCGCTACCTGGAGGGGACAGGCTGCATTGCAGGTGTCTTGGTAGCCGGACAGGGGTTGAAGCTGCTTGCCTATGAGGCCATGAAGAGAGGCTTTCTCTCCCCAGAACATACTCTGCTACTCCTAGAGGCCCAGGCTGCCACAGGCCTCCTCACTGATCTGCTGGAGAAGAAGCCCTCCTCAGTTGACCAGGCCATCTCCCTTGGGCTGGTTGGGGAAGAGTTTCACAAGGCACTCCTCCTTGCTGAGAAAGCCATTACTGGATATACTGACCCCTCCACAGGAGACAAACTCTCCCTTTTCCAAGCCATGAAAAGAAACCTGGTAGAGAAACACTATGCCCTCCGGCTGCTGGAGGCACAGGTGGCCACAGGTGGAATCATTGACCCTATACACAGACACCGCCTCCCTGTGGAGGTGGCTTGCAGACGGGGCTACTTGGATGAAGAAACTTGCCTCCTACTATCTGATGAGGGGCTTCTTCCCAAAGGATTTATAGATCCCAATACCCAGGAAAGGATTACCTACACTCAGCTCCTGCTCAGGTGTACCAAAGATGCAAAGACAGGTGCATACCTGCTGCCGTTACGAGAGAAGAGGGAATATATCTTTGTGGATGAACAAACTAAGCATGTCCTCTCATCTTGCAAAATAAAAGTAGGCCTTGGGAAATACAGGGGACAGCCCATTTCCCTTTGGGAACTTCTTTCTTCAGACTATGTTACAGAAGAGAAGCAGAAAGAAATGATAAAAAAGTATAAGGAGGGGAACTGGGCAGTTCTGCAGAGTATCACAAGGCAAATACGGAAGATCATAGAGGAAAGAGAAGACCACAGAAAAGACATTTGGTTCCAAGGACTACGGAGGCAAGTCACAGCTTCTGAGCTACTAAAGGCAGACATCATTAATGAAGAAGTTATGCACAATTTGGAAGCAGGAACAGAGAAAGCACAAGATGTAGCAAAGAGGGATTCGGTGAAGAGGTACCTGGAAGGCAACAGCTGCATCGCTGGCG